GAAACGTTAAAGCCACTGTCAGTGGCTCATTAGAGTCACCATGGTAACCATCCTGCTCGGGCATAAAGTCCAGCCTCCTGTGACCCATTAAAACTCTGGAAGACATTTCTACTGTGATGTTTACCTGAGCTATAGTGTCCCAAAAAGGGGCGGGGCTTCCTCACCTGGTGCACCTGTTGCTCCGCCCCAGCAGATTCATGATGAATATGAATAATTCCGTTTCATTGCTGCTGTGAGGTTTTCACGTTTCTGTTTTATTTATTTATTTTATCCGACGGCTGCAGGTCGTTCCCACAACAGCACTCGGATGTGTTGTGGTTTCTCTCCTTTTTGGGAATCACAAGATTTCTCCTAAACAGGACACACACTCGCCTAAAGGATTATCAGGAACACCACCCTAATACGGTGTTTGGCCCCTTTTCTCCTTCAGAGCTGCTTTAATTGTACGCGGCGTTAACACAACAAGGTGCTGAAAGCGTTCTTTAGGAATGTCGGCCATATTGATAGGACAGCATCTTGCAGATGATGGAGATGTGTGGGATGCACATCCAGGGCACGAAGCTCCCGTTCCACCACATCCCAAAGATGCTTTAACAGGTTGAGATCTGGTGACGGTGGCGCTTTATGCCATGGTGCATTATCCTGCTGGAAGTAGCCATCAGAGGATGGGTACATGGTGGTCATGAAGGGATGGACATGGTCAGAAACAATGCTCAGGTAGCCCGTGGCTTTTAAACCATGCCCATTTGGCACTAAGGGGCCTAAAGTGTGCCAAGAAACCATCCTCCACACCATGACACCACCACCACCAGCCTGCACAGTGGGAACAAGGCACGATGGATCCATGTTCTCATTCTGTTTACGCCAAATTCTGACTCTACCATCTGTCAACCAATTATTCGAGGATCCTTTGACCCGCTATCAGGAAGCTGTCCGCACAGCTAGAAACAGATATTTTGCAAATATAATCACTAGGCATAAAAACGACCAGAAGAAACTGTATAGTGTCCTCACCTCTGTACTATCCCTTAGAGAGTCTCCCAGCTCTTCTCCCTCTACAGGGGCTCTTTGCAACGAGTTTCAAAACTTTTCCTGCATAAAATCCAGGAAATCCGGTTTCTCTTACTCAGGCTGGGTTACCTGTTTGGAACCTCACTGTCCACCCTCATTCTCTTGCTTTGCTCATGTGATACCCTCTTCCCTGGTTGACCTAATCTTGGCTATGAAGCCCTCAGGCTCTCCAGAGGACAGCCTTCCTCCAAGACTGCTGCGCGATGTCCTTCCAGCGGTGGCCCCTGCTTTTTTGGATATTGTCAATTCCAGCTTCTCCTCTGGTGTGTTTCCAGCTGCTTTTAAAAATGCCGTTGTTCAGCCGCTATTGAAGAAACCAGGCCTTGACCAGTCTGACTGTGCCAATTATCGCCCAATCTCAAAACTTCCATTCGTCTCAAAAGTAGTTGAGGAACTGGCTCTCACGCAGCTTACTTCTCACCTAGATGACAATGGGCTTCTTGACCCATTCCAATCAGGCTTTAGACGTAATTACAGCACAGAGTCTGCACACATAAGGGTACTCAATGGCATCTTGATTCTGACTGACTCTGGCTCCCATGTGCGGTTACTCTTACTCGACCTGACCGCAGCATTCGACACTGCAGACCTCACCATCCTACTTCACAGACTTGAATTTTGGGTGGGTGTGACCGGTACTGCCCTCGAATGGTTTAAGTCATACCTTAATGGTCGGTGTTTTAGTGTTCATGTTGGAGACTGCTCTTCTCCCAATGTCCCACTTCCATGGGGAGTACCACAGGGCTCCATCCTGGGTCCTCTCCTCTTTTCAATTTACATACTACCACTTGGTAAGATTTTAGCAAGTCTTGGGGTTAACTACCACTTTTATGCAGATGATTGCCAGATCTACCTTCAAATCAACCAACAGCACTCATTTTCTATAATGTCAGAATGCCTCTCCCAGGTCAGATCCTGGCTTTTCAAAACTGCCTACGGTTAAATGACAGCAAATTGGATGCCATTCTTTTTAGCCCCACTAACATGAATGGTGCTTTAGATGTCTCAATTCTCCCACTCAATCTCAAATCATGTGCCACTAGCCTAGGTGTGAAACTGGACTCTGACCTTTCAATGTCTTCACAAGTCAACGCTACTGTCAAGTCCTGCTTTTTCCAACTCCGCCGCTTCACTCGTCTTAAGTCAATCCTCAAACGCCCGGATCTTGAGTCAGTCATTCATGCTTTCATTACTTCACGTCTGGATTAAGCAAATTCTGTCCTGATTGGGATTAATGCTTCAGCCCTAAGCAAACTGCAGAAGGTTCAAAATGTCACGGCCAGATTTTTAACCAACACCGACAGACACATGCACATCACTCCCATCCTCGCAGATTTGCACTGGCTCCCAGTCAAATTTAGGATTAACTTCAAGGTCCTGTTATATGTTTACAAGGCTTTGTACTGCCCATCCCCATCCTATCTGATGGTCCTGCTGACCCCGTATGTTCCCACCCGTACCCTTCGGTCAGCAGATCTTCTGCTGCTTGTTGTTCTGAAGGTTCGGTACAAATCACGGGGGAGCGTACCTTCTCTTATGCAGCCCCAACACTCTGGAACTCTCTGCCCCTCCGTGTGCGTCTGGCTCCCTCTGTTAGCAGTTTCAAGTCGGCGCTGAAAACGCACTTCTTTAGCATTGCCTTCCCTCCGTGACACTTCATGAAAATCTAGCACCGGATTTGAGTTTTTAATTCCATTTTTATGATTCAGTAGCTCACTTTTGGCACCTCGCACCATCTGGTAGCTCATTTGGTTTTATTTGTGCCATTTCAAATGTTTTTATCATTCGTCGCATTATTTTATTTTTTGATAGTGTTCTTCTATTTTATTGTTTTTAGTAGGAATTTTTTATCTCCGACTATTTAAGCTTTGTTCTTATGTATTTTGCCTGTTTTATTGTGTTTCTTGACCAAGCATTTGGCTTTTTTATGTACAGCACTTTGGTTAGCTGCCATGCTATTTTGAAATGGTGCTTTATAAATAAATATGGTATGGTATGGTATGGTTGTAGCCCATCCGCCTCAAGGTTGTGCGTGTTGTGGCGTCACAGATGCTTTGCTGCGTTCCTCAGTTGTAACGAGGGTTAGGCTCTTCTATACGCTTGAGTCAGTCGGCCCGTTCTCCTCTGACCTCTAGCATCAACAAGGCATTTTGGCCCACAGGACTGCCACAGACTGGATGTTTTTCCCTCTTCACACCATTCTTTGTAAACCCTAGAAATGGTTGTGGGTGGAAATCCCAGTAACTGAGCAGATATTGGAATACTCAGACCGGCCCGTCTGGCACCAACAACCACGCCACGCTCAAAATAGCTTCAATCACATTTCTTTCCCGTTCTGACCTTCAGTTTGGAGTTCAGGAGATGGTCTTGACCAGGACCACGCCCCTAAATGCATTGAAGCAACTGCCCTGTGATTGGTTGATTAGATAACTGCATTAAGGAGAAGTTGAGCCGGTGATCCTAATGATCCTTTAGGTGAGTGTATAAGGATGCATCTAAGTGCTGGTGTCTGCCACCAGGGGGTGCTGTAACGTTGTATTTAGTGTTAAATGGACATGTCCTGTTTTTAACTCAGTCAGGATCCATCTGGATTATTTTAGGTAACTGGCTAATTCCTGCAGAAACGGGATTAAACGAGACTCCAGAGGGAAGGGGACACGTTTACTTCCCAGAGAGACGTTGTAAAACTGCCTCATTGTTTTAGAAAATTAGTCTAGAGGTTTGCAGGTGAGTCATTGTTTAATGACCTCTTAACCTCTGGGACGGGTCTTATTGATTGTTTCAGCTCTGAGAAATGAAACTGGATTATTTAGTAAGGTTTAGGAGTAAAGGTGGATCTGGGGTGGGACAGATCTGGGACGGATCTGGGATGGATCTGGGACAGAGCTGGGATGGATCTGGGACAGATCTGGGATGGATCTGGGACGGATCTGGGTTGGATGTGGAATAGGACGGATCTGGGTTGGATGTGGAATAGGACGGATCTGGGTTGGATGTGGAATAGGACGGATCTGGGTTGGATGTGGAATAGGACGGATCTGGGTTGGATGTGGAATAGGACGGATCTGGGTTGGATGTGGAATAGGACGGATCTGGGTTGGATGTGGAATAGGATGGATCTGGGTTAGATGTGGAATAGGACGGATCTGGGTTGGATGTGGAATAGGACGGATCTGAGTTAGATGTGGAATAGGACGGATCTGGGTTGGATGTGGAATAGGACGGATCTGGGTTGGATGTGGAATAGGACGGATCTGGGTTGGATGTGGAATAGGACGGATCTGGGTTGGATGTGGAATAGGACGGATCTGGGTTGGATGTGGAATAGGACGGATCTGGGTTGGATGTGGAATAGGACGGATCTGGGTTGGATGTGGAATAGGACGGATCTGGGTTGGATGTGGAATAGGACGGATCTGGGTTGGATGTGGAATAGGACGGATCTGGGTTGGATGTGGAATAGGACGGATCTGGGTTGGATGTGGAATAGGACGGATCTGGGTTGGATGTGGAATAGGACGGATCTGGGTTGGTTGTGGAATAGGACGGATCTGGGTTGGATGTGGAATAGGACGGATCTGGGTTGGATGTGGAATAGGACGGATCTGGGTTGGATGTGGAATAGGACGGATCTGGGTTGGATGTGGAATAGGACGGATCTGGGTTGGATGTGGAATAGGACGGATCTGGGTTGGATGTGGAATAGGACGGATCTGGGTTGGATGTGGAATAGGACGGATCTGGGTTAGATGTGGAATAGGACGGATCTGGGTTGGATGTGGAATAGGACGGATCTGGGTTGGATGTGGAATAGGACGGATCTGGGTTGGATGTGGAATAGGACGGATCTGGGTTGGATGTGGAATAGGACGGATCTGGGTTAGATGTGGAATAGGACGGATCTGGGTTAGATGTGGAATAGGATGGATATGGGTTGGATGTGGAATAGGACGGATCTGGGTTAGATGTGGAATAGGACGGATATAGGTTGGAGCGTTTCCTAAATAAGAAGATATTCCATGTTACTCTAACACCAGTTTGGATTCACCTGGTTGTGTTGGAAGCTATAAAGACACACAACGACATGATAAAAATATGAAACTGTTCTAAACAAAGATTTTTACCCTGATGAGATTATTTGGGTTTATATTATTCCTAAGTACCAACGTTTGGGTGATGGAGAAGCGGAGCAGCACTTGGAGGCAGATCTAGTTCTTCTTGTTCCGCTGAAGTTCTGCACTTGCTGTAAGTAGGTGATGGGTCATAGATTAGATCTAAGGAAGCATTCACCATGTTGTTGATGTCCCCGCAGCTCCAGACTGGGTTTAAAGGTTAGCATCAGCTCTGAAGTGGTGATTAGCATCCAGCTAGGATGTTCTGGGTGAGCTTTATGAGCTTCCCGAATGAAAAAAGGGAAACCAGTGTGTCCCAGTAGCTGGTGTGTATGCAGGAGTCGGAATGCTTTGGTCCTCTGGAATGCCAACAATAAATTCCCTCCACCTTCAGGTTTCTCTCTCTGGAACATTCTAGTTATTCAACCTGAAATCGGCCGAGTGACCCTTCATCATCGCGTTTAAACCTGAATCACAGCTTTTCACGTTTCAGGTTCCTGTAAATGATTCAGTCTTCATCAGTAAATCTAATAAAACTTTGTAGGTTTTTATCTTCTGACCCATAAAACAACGACATCAAACATCCCCGATGAACCACAGAAGTGTTCTTAAACACGTAAATCAAACAGAAGCACAGTGGAATGATTGTATTTACTATTATTCCCCCATGCCCCCGTTATCACCCCTTAGTTACGTCCCTGTAAGTCCGAATGGAACCATTTAAAACGCCTTCAAACCAAAAACAAACCAAACTGTAAATGTTTGCTTCAGCAGGTTGTTGAGCTGAATTATCTGACAGCTTATTAGCCGCTGGTGAGAAATGAGAAGGTGAAATGTTTTCTTTGGTCTCAGACCTTTGAACTGGTGTTTTATTATCAGCACAAAGTCGTTTCTGGGTGAGAGCTGCCTGAACCCAGGTTAGTGATGAACGGATGAACTCACTCAAACATTTCATCGTAAGTAGAAGAATTATTGTTGTAACTCAGTAACCCTGTTACTGCAGGTGAAGAGCTCAGGTGTGTCTGAGAGGAGACGTCTCCTTTAACACAGGCTGGAGCCTCAAACAGGAAGTCCCTCCCTCTCCTCTGATTGGCTGGTTCAGACTCTCAGCCGTCCTCCTGAGCACTCTGACTCCACCCACCAAGCTTCACCTCCTTGGTCCGAGTCTGTCTGAACTCGGACCTTCGGTCTGTGGATGTGTGTGTGTGTGTTAGAGCGATTTGAAGGTGTGTGTGTGTGTGTGTTAGAGCGATTTGAAGGTGTGTGTGTGTGTTAGAGCGATTTGAAGGTGTGTGTGTGAGTGTGTGTGAGGCTGCAGAGGTCAGCAGCTGGTCTATCGTCCGTCTGACCAGCTACGGACTTTTGATGAGGATGAGGATTATTACGCGCCTCAGAGTCTCTCAGCCTCAGCGAGCTCAGGTCAGTGAATCCAGAACCGACCCGTTGGTTCTGCTGCTCCTTGTTCTGGCTGAATGTTTATGTGTGATAAAGGTGTGTGTGTGTGTGTGTGTGTGTGTGTGTGTGTGTGTGGCCTCCTCAGCTTTAGGAATCAGGTTCTTGAGCTGTTAAAACATTTGTTGTTGGATTAAAACAGTTTTTAAATAAAAAATATATCTTTGGATCCGAGGGCTGTGCAGTGACGCAGTGGTTAGAGCTGTTGCCTTGCAGCGAGAAGGTCCTGGGTTCGATTCCCGGTCTGCGATCTTTCTGCATGGAGTTTGCATGTTCTCCCTGTGCATGCATGGGTTCTATCCGGGTTCTCCGGCTTCCTCCCACAGTCCAAAAACATGACTGTTAGGTTGATTGGTCTGTCTAAATTGTCCTTAGGGGTGTGTGTGGGTGTGTGTGTGTGTGTCTGTCTGTGTGTGTGTGTGTGTGTGTGTGTGTTGCCCTGAGATAGACTGGCTCTCTGTCCAGGGTGTACCCCGCCTGATTGCCGCTGGAGATAGGCACCCCCCCCCCCCCCCCCCCCCCCACACACACACACACACACACACCCTGCGTGGACAAGCAGGTTCAGACAATGGCTGGATGGATCTTTGATCCAGCCCAGAACTCCAGACCCAGGCCATATCTCTTCCTATGTTTCCTTCCCAGCTGACAGACTTCCCGGAGGTTCTGGATCAGAAGTGTTTTTGTGGTTTTTGGCTGATTCTTCTTCACTCCAACACCAAAGTAAACAAACCCCTGCAGGGTTGCTGAGGGTGAGCTTTCAGCTGGCGGAGGACGGACGACGCTGCTCCGGATCCTAAAAGTTCTCCGGCAGAATATGGGTCTGAAAATCTCATCAGCTGCTTTTATAGTTCATGATTAAACATTTAAATGCTTGAAGCCAAAGGTCGGACCAAGGTCGAGGACCGAGGTCGGCGATCAGCTGCTGTTTGGGGGAGAAGTCAGAGGTAGCTGATGAATTAATCATCTGTGACATTAATTAAACTTCTGACAGCCTGGAAATGAGCAGAGCAGCACAACGACCCGACTTCCTGTTTGTGTTTGATCTTTAGTTTGTTTTATGGAGATGAAACCTTTATTCCGGTCCATAAATGAACCCAAATCTAAAGAAATGTTAAAGCTGCTGACTGTGGCTCATCAGGGTCACCATGGTAACCACTACACTGATCCTCCAGCTACAGACCAGGACAGCAATAAAGCTGCTGCAGTTCTTAGTCATCCACTGATTGCTTGATGGTGTGTGTGTGTGTGTGTGTGTGTGTGTGTGTGTGTGTGTGTGTGTGTGTGTGTGTGTGTGAGATGGGGTTAATCTTTTTAACTGGTTTCTCTTATTTTCCACCTCAACCTTTAACTTGGAGTGATCTAAAACCCGGACCGGATTCTTCCTGACTAGTCTGACTTCCGTTTAGGTTCTGTGCGTTTTACCTGAGAGCAGACGACCAGAACCGGACTGAACGGGTCTGGCCTTGACCCTGGTCTGACTCTCTGGAAGAGGCTTTTTTTTCCTGCCGCTGCGTTCCCAAACGGATCAGAGCCGAGGACTGGAATTTCCCACCCGACTGCAAACAAAGCTGTTGAACTTCTCAGTTTAAGTAGAAAATTCACAAATGTACAAGAAATGGAGGAAAAACAAAATTTCTACCAAAAACCTCATGTTAAACATTAAAAACAGCAAATTATTCATGAAATAAAACAAGTTAAGTTTAAGGAACGTAAAATAATTCAGTTTAAAAACCAGAGAGAAGAATTTATTTAATTCAGTTTATTTATAAAGCACCAAATCAGGACCAGAGTCATCTCTCCACACGGTAAACACTCCAGCACAGGTCAGTTCATCAAGCCAGTCAGCAGACTCCTGTAGAAGGAACCCAGCAGGTCGCATCGAGTCACTGACTAGTGTCAGAGTCTTCACAGCAAGTTTTACAGAGTTACAGCTGGTAAAAGGGTCAATTAGGATTCTATTATTAGATATAAATGATGTAAGCAGTGTTTAGCTGCATCAGAGTAAAAAGCTGCTAAAATCTATATTTACTGTAGATCTTCTGTTTTTATTGCAGAAAATATTCAGGATCAGATGATTTAACTCTAAGAATAAAAGTTTTATTTGTTTTCTGAGTGAGGAAATCTGCTGGGATGATCCGGAACATTTGGATGAATTCATTAGAGAAGCAGGACGGTTTAAAGCTGTCGAGCATTTCTGTTTATTTCCTCCTGGAATCAATTTAATTTCTCTATTTTGTGATTTAAAGTTATTTTATAAATCCTGACATGAGTTGTTGCGACGCAGCAGACTCATAAACGTGTGTGTGAGTGGATGTTTTTAGTGTTTTTAGGTGATTTTCAGCGTTTCTATGAAAACTGAAGCCTGTGTGTGTGTGTGAGCGTCGCTGTAACACACATTATATATTTATCTAAGAGATAAGATCCCGGCACGTTCATGCATACTTTATATGAGTATTAGCTGTAATGGGAAGAAACGCAGACCTACTCATTAAATCGGTTGGGATCAAATGGTCTGGATTTATGCTCTAATCTCTGAAATGATCTTTAAATGGAAAAAAAAAACAGAAACTCAGCTGCAGCCTGGTACGTTTCTCATCAGAAATAGATGCTTTAGGTTTAAACCTTTATTTTATTTTAATAAACTTCAGCAGAAATGGTCCAATATTTAACTTTCTGATGGCTGTGATTTTAGGCTTTTTAAAGGTGTGGTTCACTGAAAAATACATTTTTAATGATTATTTCTGATTCTAACGGGTCACTTAGTTTTTCATGCAGGCTGAACATGAAATAGTCTCCTACATCTATCTTCTGCAGTAGCTTCTGATAGAAACCAGACGGTGAAACTCTAGGATTAGAAAATCCTGACAGATCTACGTCACACTGTCACTTAACTCACCCATCTTGACTCACGACGGGTCACGTTTAGCGTCCAGGAAACAGCAGAGCTAGTAGAAGCTACCTGTTAGCATTAGCAACTCCACCACACGGCAGAACTCCTCCAGGCTTGTGTTATTTGTGGAGATAAAACATCAACTTGTAGAGAAAACAGTCAGTGGCAGAGTCGTGTTGCTGTTAGCCAATCAGAGGAGAGATATCCAGATATCAGGAAGTAAGACTCGGGGTCTGTCGTCTGAAGCTCAGCTGGGATGTGGCTCACTTCTAGTTCCTGAAATAGGTGAACCAGGGCATTTTGTTCCCCGAGGTGTTTATTCCTACTAGAAACCGCCGCAGATGTATTGAATAAACGAGTGAATTACACCTTTAATGTTTTAAAGAAACGTGTCGGCCGTCTTTACGAGTTTTTCCTTTAACTTTACAGCAAACGGTAACTTTAACACAAAGTATCTATGAGTTCCCATTTTTAGACCACTTACTGAAGCTTTGTTCAGAGAAATGTGGCAGGCACAAATCTGGCAGCACGGACCGGGCTGGGTGGCGTGTATTTGAGCCGGCCAGTCAGTTGGCAGTGGGCGTGCCTGACCTGTTCAGCCTGAAGCAGACCGCCTTGATATGAGGGCTGAAAAACTGACCGGTTGACAACGGGAAAATACTAGGCCACCTCGATGGGAACACTTTAAAAGCTACCCAGTCCAGTCTGTGCTGGCCCAGATGTGAAAGCACCAACAGAGGTCTTGTCCTTCAGGACTGAGGAGCTAACGGCTAGTCTGAGTGCAGCAAAAGTGTACTAAAGAAATATTTGCATCATGGGGGGAAAATGGCACCAGGCCTGAAAGCCGAGGCCTGAAAACAACCATTTACATGTCTAACTGGTCTGAGTGGTTTTGTTCCTGCTTCTGTTTCCCCGAGCACCACTTCCACCAGCAGCTCCACTATTTCATGCAAACATGTGGGGACTATTGTGCCGCAGCATTTGCATGTTTGAGACGCTAAACTTTGTTTACGTGGAGACAAACGACGGCGTCCGCGGTGTTCCGGTTCCACGGAACAGCCGCCGCATTTGCATGGAGACGGTTTGGGTTCTGGTCTAACTGCTGGAGCCACTGAGACCCAGCCGACGATGGAGACGGGGAACTTCAGGTTGATTTCAACATGTCAGATGTTCCAACGCTAAAGCTCTACCTATATGAACATCCAAGATCAGAAACCACTTCACCTGAGATTAGGATTAATGGGCTGGAGTCTCCACTTGCTCTCCCGTCTCCTGATCTCGTCATCGTTAAACTCTGGTGTTGAAAAGCTGAGAGGAAGATAAATGTTATGATGTATATCTGAATGATGTTCCTGGGAAGTTTACCTGCGCTAGAGCTCCAGGGGGCGGGGCTACAGCACCGGTTAGTCAGATGAGCCTGCTAACTCTTAAATAGACCAGCCTTTTATTGATCAGACCTCTTTACTTCCTGTCAGGTTTGATCTAAAGTTTATTTCCTGGCTTCTTGCTAACGTTGAGCTGCTTTTATATTCAAATTTGAAACTCTGCTTCTGAAACTCACCGCAGGATTCCCGGTTTCGAAGCCTTGTCATCTTTCAGAGGGAGTGAGAACAGACGTTCACTTTCCTCTGAATCTAAAGATAAACTCGTCTCAGTGAGAAGTGAAGCTGTTGCATGGGGAGCTGCAGATGCTGCTCCACAGACCGTTTACACATTTAAACCGTGCTGGTCTAGTTTTTCTCTGGGATGTTTCATCCATCATCCTGATGGAAGCAGCATCACCACCGGCACAGAGCCGAGGATCAAACCGGATTCACCAGGAGCTGAAGCTGGTGAAACGTGGAGGATTAGGGTTAACCCTAACCCATCGTCAGGATGTTCAACAACACACCCATTCTGACCTGCTGATAAAGATTCTGGCAGATTCCGTTATCTGTTCAGGAACTCTTATGAAATCTTTATTCTTATTTTAGACGCATGGATCATTGAATACTGCTAGCCTGATCTGGCTTTGAGATTCAGTTCTAATCCAGACATCAGGGATTAGCCAAGGAGGAGCTCGCTCAGCAGGGATTTGTTTTCAGCCACATTCCTCGTTACACGTCCTCGTGTCCGAAAGCAGGTCAAACTGTGTGTGTGTGTGTGTGAGTGTGCTCGCTCATGAATGAAGAGGATTTACTCGAGGGATTTCCACAGAAACTGACCCAGAAACATGAATAATAGTTTTTAAGTATTAAAAACAACAGAGATTAAATCTCCAACTGGATAAATTTACCTCAGAAACTACAAATAAGGATGTTTTACTCCTGAAACGCCATAATTCCTGAAACGTTTAGAAACCATTATGAGAAACAAAGTTTTTTTTTTTTATTATTGTTGGATTTTCTAGCAGCTCACAGCTGGAAAATATCCAGTGATCCTGATTGGACCTAAACACAAAGATGCCCTCTTTTACCCATCTCTCCAGGTGAGCCCTGGGCTCCAAGCTGAGTGCTAACCATGCTGGGGCAGAGCAACGTGACCTCCAGCACCCTACAGCTGGTAGCCAGCGACATGACTGGGATCATGGAGAAGCTGGACACGCGTGAGCTGGACCTGGGTGACGGGGACTACAGCACCACTGATGGCGGTGCCGCCAATGGTATCCGTTCGTTCTCCTCACGTAATTTATCTCCATTGGTTAGCCGAAGCTAAAGGTTTGTTTTCCCCTCCAGGGGATCGGTTGCCTTTCACAGCGATCTATGAAACAGTCGGTTTCAAGGAGTCTGAGGCCAAAGTCTTCCTGTCCTCACCAATCACTGCCAAAATCATGGCGGTGGAGCGATTCACCTCTGCTCAGGATCGCTTCAACCAAACCACACAGAGAAGTGTTAATAAGGTGCTACCATTCAGCGTTTTCCTACTTACGCCTCACATCCACTCACCTTTATCTCAACAAAAGGTTTCTAAGTTATACCGTTAGCTCAGACTAGCTGTTAGCTTGGACTAGCAAAAGCTCAGACCAGCTCTAAGATCGCACTTGTCATTAGTTCAGACTAGCTATTAGCATTGACTAGCTGTTAGAATGGACTAGCTGTTAGCATTGATTAGCTATTAATATGGACTAGCTGTTAACATTGACTTGCCATTAGTTCAGACTAGCTGTTAGCATCGACTAGTTGTTAGCATTGATTAGCTTTTAGTATGGACTAGCTGTTAACATGGACTAGTCACTAGTTCAGACTAGCTGTTAACATGGACTAGTCATTAGTTCAGACTAGCTATTAGCATTGACTAGCTGTTAGAATGGACTAGCTGTTAGCATTGATTAGCTATTAATACGGACTAGCTGTTAGCATGGACTAGTTGTTAGCATTGATTAGCTTTTAGTATGGACTAGGTGTTAACATGGACTAGTCACTAGTTCAGACTAGCTGTTAACATAGACTAGTCATTAGTTCAGACTAGCTATTAGCATTGACTAGCTGTTAGAATGGACTAGCTGTTAGCATTGATTAGCTATTAATACGGACTAGCTGTTAACATTGACTTGCCATTAGTTCAGACTAGCTGTTAGCATGGACTAGTTGTTGGCATTGATTAGCTATTAATATGGACTAGCTGTTAACATTGACTTGCCATTAGTTCAGACTAGCTGTTAGCATGGACTAGTTGTTAGCATTCATTAGCTTTTAGTATGGACTAGCTGTTAACATGGACTACTCACTAGTTTAGACTAGCTGTTAACATGGACTAGTCATTAGTTCAGACTAGCTATTAGCATTGACTAGCTGTTAGAATGGACTAGCTGTTAGCATTGATTAGCTATTAATACGGACTAGCTGTTAAAATTGACTTGCCATTAGTTCAGACTAGCTGTTAGCATGGACTAGTTGTTAGCATTGATTAGCTATTAGTATAGACTAGTCATTAGTTCAGACTAGCTATTAGCATTGACTAGCTGTTAGCATTGATTAGCTATTAGTATGGACTAGCTGTTAACATGGACTAGTCACTAGTTCAGACTAGCTGTTAACATGGACTAGTCATTAGTTCAGACTAGCTATTAGCATTGACTAGCTGTTAGCGTTGATTAGCTATTAGTATGGACTAGCTGTTAACATGGACTAGTCATTAGTTCAGACTAGCTATTAGCATTGACTAGCTGTTAGCATTGATTAGCTATTAGTATGGACTAGCTGTTAACATGGACTAGTCATTAGTTCAGACTAGCTATTAGCGTTGACTAGTTGTTAGCATTGATTAGCTATTAGTATGGACTAGTCATTAGTTCAGACTAGCTCTTAGCATGGGCTAGCTGTTAGCATTGATTAGCTATTAGTATGGACTAGCTGTTAACATTAACTACTCATTAGTTCAGACTAGCTATTGGCATTGACTAGCTGTTAGAATGAACCAGCTGTCAGCATTGATTAGCTATTAGCATTGACTAGCTGTTAGCGTTGATTAGCTATTAGTGTGGACTAGCTGTTAGCATTGAGCCTCCTTCAGCCTCCTGTTTGATGAAACCCGAGCAGCAGAGAAACTAACCGGGTCAGTAACCCGCTAACTAACTGCTCCTCCTGCAGTCGATGCCGGCTGTCTACAAGATCGAGCTGAAGCATGGAGAGTTCACCTGGGAGGTGAAGAAGAAGGAGAAACACTTTGTGGACCTCCACAGAGAGCTGAGGACCTACAAGACCTTCATGAGAATTCCGCTGCCTTCACGCAGGTAAAATGTCTTCATGTTTTCTGTCCCGGGCTTCGAACCAACAACCCCCTTACTGATTTAATCTCTGCAGTCACACGGTGAGGAGGACGATATCAAGAGGCGAGGTGAGGCAGATGCCAAACCTCCCCAGAGGTAGAGCAGAGGAGCTGGGGAGAGAAGAACAAGTAGCCAGCCGCAGGGTTGGTGTCTGATCAGAGACCCGCTTGGGTTGGGTTGCTTCTGTTGAAGTCGTTATTTTTGTTTTCTGATCAGAAACAACTAGAAGATTACTTGAACAAGCTGCTGAAGATGCAGATGTACAGGAACTACTACGCCACCGTAAGATCCACAACCTTAAACAGAAAAAAATACTTTTCTGATGTTTTTATCCTTAAAACTGTAGAAAACAAACATCCTCAACTGTAAAATATTCTATATTTACACACACACACACACACACACACACACACCCTGTTTGCAGATGGAGTTTATGGACGTCAGCCAGCTGTCCTTCATCCATGACCTCGGACCTAAAGGACTGTAAGGAAAATCTGTTAAATTTTCTCATCCTTCAGTTTTAGATTTGACGCACAAACTTAAGTTAATTATTGACTTTAATCAAATAACGGAAAACTACAGAGATTAAATAATCTGGTTAAATGAGGATTTTATTCAAATATAATCTCATAACTCTCTCAGTGATGTTTTTGAAATCATGTCTGAGGATTTCTGAGCTGATGGAAAGTTTTGATCTTCAGAGTAAATATTATTACTGAGTAAACATTTTTAATGTACTACTGATTGTATACACATGTATATAATCTAGAAGAGTAGAGGTAGATAAACCGGGTATTAGCCACACCCCCTGAGTGTTCCTCGTGTCTTCTAGAGAAGGAATGGTGCAGAAACGATCCGGTGGACATCGGATTCCCGGCATGAACTGCTTTGGTCACAGCAAGATGTGCTACCGCTGGTCCAAACGGTCAGTCCATGCAGACCACCCAGAACATTACATCATAAATTAAGCACTGTTTTGTTAGAGAGGTAAACAGGGCAGGTTTCGTTGTTTTAATTGAACCAGAACCACAAGTTCCGATGGTCCAGGTCTTCAGAGCCACAGTTTGCCCCATTTTAAGGCTGATCTGATGACGGACCTGTTGTCTCCGTGATGACGGACCTGTTGTCTCCGTGATGACGGACCTGTTGTCTCCGTGATGACGGACCTGTTGTCTCTGTGATGACGGACCTGTTGTCTCTGTGATGACGGACCTGTTGTCTCCGTGATGATGGACCTGTTGTCTCCGTGATGACGGACCTGTTGTCTCTGTGATGACGGACCTGTTGTCTCCGTGATGACGGACCTGTTGTCTCTGTGATGACGGACCTGTTGTCTCTGTGATGACGGACCTGTTGTCTCCGTGTCCAGCTGGCTGGTGGTGAAGGATTCCTTCCTGCTCTACATGAAGCTCGACTCGGGCGCCATCTCCTTCGTGATGCTGTTCGATAAGGAGTTCTGCATCAAGATGGACTTCAAAGACACTGAAACCAAACATGGCCTCCGCATCGACAGCCTCTCCAGGTGTGTGCAGCGTTTTTCTTGGTCCCACCGGAAACACGGAGCGCTGCTGAACGTTGTGTGTGTGCAGGTCGTTGGTGCTGAAGTGTGCCAGCTACAGACACGCCCGCTGGTGGGGGCAGGCCATCGACTGCTTTTCCAAGAAGCACGGCGCCGCCTTCCTCAAGGACCACCGCTTCGGGTCTTTCGCCATGGAGGAAAAGAACATCCCTGCCAAATGGTAACAATTAGGGAGGTTCCTCTCAGGTTTTTTCCTCCCGATCCGATTCCAAGTCTTTTTTTTAAGAGTCTGCCGATCCCGAGTCCCGATCCGATACTTAAGAAATGCATTAAGACAAAAGGACACACCAGAGTTGTCCTTTAATCTTTTGATCACTAATGTGCTTATTTCTTGTATTTCTGTCGTTTCTTTAGTTTATCTAACATAAAACATCACTTATTTAGGAAGTATATTAATGAGGAACGTGTTAATATGAAGAACAAATCAAAGAGTAGCCTCATTTCTAATAGTTTACTCAGCGTGCGCTGTATTGAGTGACAGGGATGGCAGGGCACATGACGGTAAGCAACAGGGTCACTCTTTTCAACATAACACCTGTAGAGCTGCTGCGTCTGTAAAGGTAGGAAGAGAACACCGATCCTCCCGTGAGCCACGCAGACTGCAGAACCCGCGATTGCAACCGGACACTCGCCGGTGGGAGGTGCTGCTGTCCGTAGACTTTCATTTCTTGACACATCTTTTATTCGTGTCGACGGGCTTATCCGCATTGTTGCAGCAAACTGAGCAGGAAGAGTTTTTTTAAGGTGGTGCATCAGCTTTGTAGCGTTGAACATGGCACAACCAGTTCCATCGTGGTAAATGCCCAGTTTGCACACATTACACGCGTCTATTACACTCCTTTTGCTGCTTGTTTTAAAATACCTCCAACTTACAGACGTTCTCTCTCTCTCTCTAGAGGCCACAAGTGTGCTCTGTGTGAGCTGTTATCTCCCGAGCTACCTTAACTTGTGGGGCTTTACGGTGTGGTTGTCTGTGAAACAGAGCACTGGTGAATTAAAACCAAGCCTTTTATAATCTTTCTCAGGATGGATTGTTGTTTTAAATGGTTAAATCAGATTATTCCCACCTGATTTTGGTCCGTTCAAAATCACCTGATCAGATCGGAGCATCCCTAGTAACTATAGCAACCAGCTAGCAGAATTATGTCCAGGCTGGACCTCCTGTTTGTAGGATTTCCTTCTTCTTTACAGTTTTATTAAACGAGATTCTGGGAGTGATCGCTGGGATCTGGATCTGGCTCAGACCTGGACCTTGATCTGTCTCTCTCTGAACGAGGAACACAAGAACAGGGATCAATAATTAGTTTACGTTTTTATTTGGGTGTCAGGAATCTTTAACTCATTCACTGCCAGCGTTTCTCACCATTTTTATTTTAAGAGTAACAGAACGTTGCACGCTAGGATGATGTCGACGCCAAAAAAACTAAAACAAAGCAGAGACTCACCTCTTACATCAAGAAGAACCCGCGCATTTCGAGCGTTATCCGTTCTTTCATAATTGTTGTTGAATTGTGATCGGCAGAAGCTTTTCTGGTTCGCATCTCAATTTTTTTACTGCAGCAGCCCAAAACGATCTCCTAACACATGGATTTTCTGCTTCCTGATCATGTGACGTGTGACGTATGCGGATGAAGATCTGCTTTAGAGCGGAGATGTTTGTTCTCGTGGTGCGGGGGCTCGTCCGACGCCCACACAGTAAAAACATGTAAATGACGACTTTAGTTGTTATTGGCAGTGAATGAATTAACAGCAGGACTGAAGGTTTAAAAGGCTCTTTACCGTGTCTTTATTGACTTATTTATGGGACATGTTTGGCTCTTCTCTGTAAACTGAGGCAGGTCAAAGGTCAGCAGACAGGAGTCCAGACGAGACCCAGTCCAGCTGGCAGCAGCATCCGTGCAGGTTTTAACGCCATCAGGAACACGTTTAGCTTTGGCTTTTCTCCTCCGTCGTTAAATTAGTTAGTGTGTGTGTGTGTGTGTGTGTGTGTGTGTGTGTGTGTGTGTGTGTGTGTGTGTGTGTGAGTGTGTGTGAGAGAGAGAGAGACAGAGAAGGGGAAGGTTCCTTAGCAGAACTGGAGCATGGATGTTTCTCGCAGTAGAAACCCGACACACAGAGAGAGGGAAAGTGAGACTCACCTGCTCATCACCTGTCCTGATGGGCAACACTATCCTGTGTGTGTGTGTGTGTGTGTGTTGCCTGTAAAAGCTTAATGATTCTACAGAAGAGTGACAGGCTAAAAACACACCATCAGGTTACGTTAGACCAGGTCCTGGAGATCCGTTATCCAGCATGTTTTAGTTGTTTTTCTGCTCCGACTCACTTGTTCAGCCTGTTGATCACCTGCTGACTCTAATCAGGTGTGTTGGAGCAAAGAAACAACTAAAACATGCTGGATATGAGCCCTGGGGGACCAGGGTCGGAGACTCCGTGTCAGACGGCTTGGCTGATGGATGCAGTGTCACATGACCTGATGTTGATGCTGAGATGACCTCTTTAAGCTCCGACAGTCGTGTGTGTTCAGATTCTTCTCTGATGTCATGACAGTAATTTAGATATTTGGATTTTATTACTTTTCACAAGGATCCTGTTTTAATGTCGCTCACTTAAAATTAAAATGAAGGCAAAGGGGCGGGGCTTAAAGCTGCAGACAGCCACTAAGGGGATCCCTAAGGCTACACAACTATTATATAAACAAAGATTTTTACCTGGTGTTCTTGTGACATTCACTAATGTGTCTGACAGCATCAGGCCCTTTAATCAGTCTATAATCTCATAAATCCAGTGCGTCTGGTGCAGAACCTTGTTGGGATTTTTCTCCAACAGGACGACAACATTTAGATGTTGGATGTGTTTTTGAAAGCTGAAGCATGTTAGTGACAGGAAACTCCAACCTTTAACCCTCCAATGCCCACAGCTGATAGGGTCTGATGTCATCTGCAGGTATGTGAACGGTAAAACCTACATGGAGGACGTGGCTGATGCTCTGGAGGAGGCCAAGGAGGAAATCTTCATCACAGACTGGTGGTGAGTGTGAACCCTCACCTTCCTCCTCTGCGGCTCATGTTCTGGTTCCAGAGGTAAGCGAGTGCACAAGGTACTCGCCTCAGGGAAGTTTCTGGCCAAACGGATCCATTACAAGCCAACAGTCATGGGTTCAAACTATCACTACACACACTGACTTCAAAATAAAAGCCTGTGTTTCTGCTGAGTAACAATCAAATTACCAGAATAGAATATTTATTTATTTATTTATTTATTTTTCTTGGTGTCCTGTCTGGCTGTGAAGCAAACAGAATTGATGTCTGAATGCTGGTAAAAAGCCTTACAGATTTACTCTCAGGTGGAACATCAAAGCTTCTGCTTTAATGTCACGCCTGATACTTAAAACTTTATTGTTATTGTTTTTTGAATGCTTGTAATTCCGACCAAACACAGAGACAGAGGTGTAA